CATCTTGCTGAGGGGTTTTGTCATTAAAAGCCGAAAGCTGGTCATTAACAAACCTTCTCTGCAATCATGTACCGCTGTGCTAACTCAGGCATGGATCTGCCTGGAAAGTTAGGCTTGCTCAGAAACTTTCCAGAAGGCTGCATTTTTTTTTTCCTGTGTGGGCTATATTTCTTTAGGGAAATAAGAGACAGTTCCCTATCACTTAATCATTTATTTCTCATTATCCATTGACTAACTCTTCTCTGGTAGACACAACCGAATTCAACAAATGTCTGCAGAACACCTACAATATGACAGCAATGATGCCCAGGGCTGAAGACATAATTATAAGAAAGATTCTGCGCCAGTTCTCAGAGGGTGCATGGGGCCCTTCCAGAAAAATAACCCATCATTTACAAAATCCTTCCTCATGTGCCAGACTCTGCATTTAGGCTTGATAAGAATTATCTTCTTTACCTTTCTTTAGAATATAAATGTTCTTCTTATCCCAGTTTAAAGATCAAATGGCTGAAGTGTTGTCTAAGAATTTTTTCTAAATTGCTAAGCTTGGAAGGGGCAGAACCAGGTTTCAAACCCATGTCTTGTCTGACCTGAAGCAAGTTCGTGTGCTCCAAACAACAGAATTGGGCCAGGCAGAAGGCAAAGACCATGGCATTCCAGGATGAGGTGCTCATCAGGAACCAAGTGAAAGGCAGGCACATGCAGGGGAGGTATGAGAAAAAGGCTGAGCCCAGGCTCGAAGTCCCTTTGGGGAGAATTCAACCATGATTGGAGTATTGCCCACTGGGAATAACCTTTACCCACTTCTCGCCTCTCCAAGAACATTCAGGTTATTGAGGTTTCCATTGGCATTTTGTACACATGGACTTAAACTTGCCTGCTGGCTCTGCAGCAGCAAGGCCTGGTATACATTTCATGGGCAGAATAGAGATTCATAGGATGTGAGAAAAGTTGAACTCTTTGAAGATCACTGCTTCTTGAACTTCTACAAAAATTTAGGTGGCAGAGTAATCCAGCTACCCAGTTGCTTGATAGTTGTTTCTTCTGCCAGTGATTTGATTTTTCACCTAATCTGGCAGCCTCTCTGATGGAAATAATGAATGAAGGGAGATGTTGCTGCTTTTTCCTCCATGGGATTCCACCTTCCTTGACGGCCAAGGAAGGTGGAATCCCATGGAGGAGCTTCCCCAGAAAAAAATGATAGAGAAACAGGCCGACAGGAGGTATACTCTGCTATTAACTTAAGACACTTGGGGGGGTGGGGGAGGGAGGACTAAAAACACTCTTGGGATGATATGTTTAAAATAACAATAAAAATAAGTTGAGGTGATAAATATATTCTTAAGAGTACACATTTTGTCAAAATACTAATAATTATTACCATTGGTTGAGGGCCCACTATGTGCCAGGCAATTGTTAGCAGGGGGTCACACACTAGCTTACTAAATGAAATCTTTACAAATACCATACCAGGAAAATTATTATCCCATTTTTATAGATGAACGAAGTAAGAGTTTGGAGGATGAACAATGTGCCTAGCGCCCCTCATTGAATATTCAGCCGAGCCGGAGGGCAAGCCTAGTTGTACGTTAGTTCAAGTTTTTGGTGTCTACACTGTGTTGCTTTACTTTATCTATATCTACATTAGTTAAAACACAATAAAACACAATCTACTTAAAGGCACTTAAATTATACAACAATTAAAAAGATGTCAACTGACTTCTTTTTTTTTCCTGAAATGACATTTTCCTCTTTTTGTTTCTTTACCCAAAAGGAGACAAAAACATTAGCTTACATTTTACTCTCCAATTAATGCTGTGGGATTTTACCTGAAAAGATCAGTAAGTTCTCCAAGCAGACACCATTGATCCAACTGTAGTGTCATTATGTGTCTGTCCATATGTGTGATGTTGGAGGGAAGGATTTGTTCATGGCTCCCCAGGTTCTGGCGGGTTCTCACCTGCAATGCTTCGCACAAATGTCTTCCTTGGCCTGTTATTATTTTTAACTGCTTGTAGTGTGCTTTTACTAGTAAAGTACTGTGCAAACAAGATCATCAGTGCTACCTTGGAGGCATCTCAGGAATTCGATTAGTAAGTACAGTTCTTCCCCTCTGATGACAGGAGGGACAAGAGATGTTTGAGCATTGTCCAAGGTCATAGGACCTGGAAGCTCTTGCAGAGGCAATGTGAAGCACTTTCAAAGGATGTATGTTAGCCTTGACTGGGTAGTTCAGTTGACTAGAGCATCATCCCAATACACCAAGGTCACGGGTTCAAATCATGGTCAGGGCACATACAAGAATCAACCAATGAATGCATAAATAAATGGGACAAGAAATTGATGTTTCTCTCTCTCTATCTCTCTTCCTCTTTCTCTTTCTAATCAATAAAAAATTAAAAAACAACCCACCCAAAAAAAAAAACAAAAAAAACAAAGAATCTACGTAAGCCCAGAGTACCAAAGGTAAGGAAAAGGCAAGCGCTCCGAGTCAGAAAGCCCTGGACTCACAGGCCTCATCAAACACCGAAATAGCAGCAGCAGCAGTAATAGTAGTAGTAGTAGTAGTAGCAGCAGCAATACAAACAGTCTGCCTTGTTCCAGCAGATATTACTTAGTAACTTTGTGACCTTGAGCAAATGACACACTTTCTGTAACTCATCTGTAAAGTATGAGGGATGACCTCATGTTACTATTTTGAAAAAGAAATGAGATGGTCTCAGCTAAGACTCTCTCTGTTCCAACTGATAGAAGCCCAGTCAGAATCAGGCAAAGTAGAAAGAGCACTTAATTAAAAGTAATGTCTCTCAAGAACAAGCATGCACCTGGGTCTGAGGAAACACTAGAACTAAAGGCCCAAGTGCCATCCAGATTCTCTCTCCATTTCTTGTTGCCACTTCATCCCGATGCACCTGCAGTGGTCCTTCCTCCTGCTTAAGCTGAAAGGGCAGGACACTGACACCAATTTCCCCCCCAGGCCAGGCTAAGAGACAAACCGAGTGGTCCAAGTTCTAAATCCCAGGGAAGAACTGGGATTGGCCCAGCTCATGTCAAGTATCTACATCTAAATCAATCAATCACCTGTTGACAAGGGGCAGTATTTTATTCTACATACGCGGCTGTCCCTGTGGTAAACCTGAGGGTAGGGGGACGTGGATATTTTATAGAAGAAAGAGGATTATTACTAGAAAAGAATTTTACCAGAGACGAAATAATTGATGTCCATTGTAACAATATATGAAAAATAGTTATCACTGCACCCAGTCTAGAACATATACACATATGTATGGGGGTTTTGTGGTCAATATGTAGATTTCTGCACATTTTAAAAGATGATATTTTTAAAGCATAATAAATACAGTATTACATTTTAATTACAATGAATATAGAACATCTAATGTTAAAAAGCAGAAGAGAATGTAGATGCTGTGAACAGCTTATGCTTTAGGCGCATAGCACTTTCTCCATTAATTTAAAGACAATAGAAAATCAACAAATTGGAAAACAGGATTTTGTTTCCTTACCCCATCCTCTTCTCCTGTCCCCCAGAAACTCAAATCTTCTCACTTTTCCACTCTTGCCTTCAGAAACTTTTCTGCCTTTAGTGTTTTTAATTTTGGTAGGCCCACCACTGAAATTTTATCATTAAAAGTCTAAAGGACCATAGAAACTACAGGAAACTATTTCAAAGAGCACTTGAATGACCTTAAATGTTTAACACTAAACAGAGCGCCAAGCTAGAGATGAAAAAACCAGGTCCTGGTTTTCCCTTTTTCCCCAAAACACACAGGACAATTTTGGACAAGTCATTTGTGGTCCCTGCGTCATCATAAATCTGCATGAAGGTTACTAGCCTACTTGCCTCTCAGGGTGAATCTGGGAACATCAGGGGATTAAGGCCCATTTACAAGGAGAAGTGAAAAAAGAAGAAAAGAAGAGAGTTCCCTTTCTTAACAGACTGTGAATTCCCACCTGAGGAAGAATATGTTTTCTGTGTAAGAAGACAAAAGAATTATTTTGCTTGGATTAAACTCTAGGAATCCAGTTGCACTCTGGCAATAAACTCTAGGCCCCAATAAGGGATCAAGTCAACATATTCCAGGTTTTAGAAAGAAATCACTTTGTGTTGCTTCCCAGAATTCCTTCTGGCTGCTGCCAGTATATTACTAATTAATTTTTAAGAAAATAGTTTCAGGACCTTTCAAATAGAATGATGAGACAGACGTGTGCCTACCATGTTCAAAACAATAAAAGACATTGAAAGTCTCATCTTTCATTGAATTTTGTTTCTATGATATGATTCCTCTATAAGGAGAAGAAATTAAATTTATAAAGCAATAGTATCCCAAGTGGCAGCTAAAAGGGAAGAATTCACTGGTTTAGAAATGTATGTTACCAGTTAAAGATTACTACATATTTGCGTTCAAGTATGAAAAGAATCCCATGAGGGAAAGAAGTTACCAGAATAATAACATTGTCTTGAAACAAATTTTACAAAATCTATAGGACAAAAAAAAAGTTCCTAACGGGGCTGCTTGGTTACAGCCTAAATGAAACATACACTGATTGAAGACTCACGCCACTTAAAGTTTATTACACAAATGCTTAATTGTTGTCCTTTAAAGATTCGATCAATTCATTTCTTGGTAGTTAGGGTATTAAAATATGCAAATAAGCATGCGATAGTTGATCAGTGCTAATCTTTTTGCAATAACTAATGTTCTCTCTCAATAGCTACCACTCCTCCTGTTCATGTCACCTTCACCCAGGAGTCGCAAAATGCTGAAGACAGTTGCTTTTTACTTGATTAAATTTTCAGAGGTTGAAGCTAGGCCAAAATCCTCACCCTACTCTTTCCTAAACACTTTTTCTCCTCTTTCTTAATTACATGGCTTTACACTGATTTGCATGAATTTCAGCTTTCAAAATCATTGGTCTTTGCTGAATGCAAATAGGCACATAAGTTTGCACAATTGATCTTTCATCATTCCAAATGGTACCTTTGAACAGTTCCTGGAACGTCTGTCTGAAATACTCCCAGCGCTGAGTGTCATCAAGAGGCGCGGGGTCACCCTGGGGAAACCCATTCTCGGTGATGTAAATTACAGGGTTATTATACGTATCCTGCAACAAGAGAGCAGAAGTTTTATTCCAAACAGATGTAAAAAAAAAAATGGCTCATAAAATCAGGTGCATTATCCTCTATCTTCTCTAAGCTACAGCCCAAAACTAGTTTCATCAAATTGCACTGACCCTATTAACTTAATTTTCCACGCACTGATCTTTTATGACTAACAATGGAAAAGCAAAACTGTGCAAATGTGCATGAAGAGAGTCAAATGACTCCTCTTCTAATGGGAAGACAGAAATATCTTTCTTCCATCAGCATCTGCTGATTGTCACTGCTCTTTAACCCTTTTGCGCCACCAGCAGCTACATTCTCTATCCCCCACCCCCACAGAAGGCGTCCTGGAAACCGCTAACTTGAAATCTTAATTTCAGCTACCTGGACACCATCCAGCATAACAGAGACCCAAAAAGGACCCAGCTATTTCAACCTTAATATGCCTTTTAATAACCACAGCCATGATACCAGCCTGAAAAATATATCTAAGCTTTTCCTAAGTCTGTGGTCATGTCTGACTTCATTTTATTTTTTTAAGTATATTTTAGTACACTATGGTCAGGTCTGACTTCATTTTATTTTTTTAAGTATATTTTAATAGTGAGTCCTATCTCTGTCCATGGTGTTTGAAACCCTCCATCAGCTAGTTACCCCTCACCAACTTACGGCCTAATCTTCTCTTCCCAGGCCAAAAAATGTATATGCTATTGCTTAAAATCACTCTTTCCTAAGGTTCGTATACACATATACATAGACTGTCTTTCCATCTTCACATATTTGAGCATACATGGACATCAGTATGCATTTACCTTAATGTATTTCAGTAGTTTACGTATTCCCCATGGCACCACATAGATCCCACCTAAATTTATCCAAGATGGGTCTGGAAAAATTTCAATCTCTGCATCCTGGAAAATACCCAGTTCTCCTTTATCATTCTCCTGGTGCTTGACTAGGCTACTGGAATAATATTGCACAGCAAAGAAATCAGCTGTGCCTTTGATCATCCTCTTCTCTTCTTCTGTAAATTCTGGAAGCCTGGATGATGGATAGCCTTGCTTTTGACTCATGGCAGCAACCTGGGACTTGACCACTTCCGGATAATCACCATCAATAAATATGGGTTTAGCAAAGAAATCCAAGTGGAAAGCCAAGGTTCTTTTAGCAGCTTCCTGATCAGACACTGAGTTGGGATCGGCTGGCTCCACCCAGCCAGCAAAAAGTGATAGGGACACCATTCCCTTCTGCTCTTTTCGGAATAAGGAATCATAGCTATGCCAGGCTCTCGCATGGGCCTTAATCAAATTATGAGCTGCTTGGTAACCTCCGGTTCCTTGGTGAGGTATAGCTGGAGGAAACATACCAAGATCGTATGCCAGCAGGGCAAACAGATTAGCCTCATTTATGGTGATCCACTGTTTGACTCGATCCCCAAATGTACTGAAGCAAAACCGGGCATATTCATTGAAGGATTCAATGGTTGCCACCGACAACCATCCTCCTTTGTCTTCTAAGGCCTGAGGCAAATCAAAGTGGTAGAGGGTCACTATAGGAGTAACCTGATTTGCTAACAAATCGTCGATGATCTTGTTGTAATAGTCAATTCCTAGGAAAAAGAAAAAGAAGACATGTAAGAAGACAAGTTGTTTTTAGTATGTTGGGAATAACTTTTAAGAGGGAGAGGATTGGAAAGAATTTCCTAAATAAAGTTTATTCAAAATAAGGTTTATTACCTCCTATGTATAATCAATTAAAGGCTGAGAGGAAACATAAAAAATTCCAAGGAAGACTGACTGACCAGGTAGTGGGAGAGAGAGGGGGTGATGTGTTTGTGGGAGAAAGGGATACATTTGGACACATTGCAATCACATAACTTTGTGCCATTGCTACACACTGAGGTCAACTTATTTATGTGCTTATATGAAGGATTTGCCTTTTAACTGCACTAGAATACAAACCCCATAGTAGTGAAAACTTTATCTATTTTATCTCTGGATTTTCCAAATCCTGGCACTGTATGGGAAATTTGGTTGATGCTCAATAAATATTTGTTGAGTGAATGAATAAATCTCAATGGTATTGAATATAAGGTAAAAGAGCAGTGCCAGATAACTGCTTTAGTGCTTCTCCAGAACCATCAGTCTCAAAAGTCTAGGGAAAAAGATGCACTGGGCAACAACAAGAGCTAGGCATGTGTCCCAGAATGTGGGATACAGGGCAGTTAGCACACTAGGGAATACCAGGCTGGGGAGTCTGCTCTAAGATTCTGACATTGGCCTTGGGAATACAGACCACCTCTGGCTCAGGCTATAACCTGATTCTCCAGCAATGCAAGTGGCAAGAGAGAGCACTCAGGATTGTGGCAGAGTTCAGAAGAATGTTATTCAGTTAGAGATGCTTTGCCACAGGAACCAGTGCCCAGAAAATGTTGGGTCCAAACTGATGATGACTCTTACCTTGGAAGAGACTTTCTGATTTATTGGCTGATTCTTGTATGTGCCCTGACCAGGGATTGAACCTGCAACATTGGTGTATTGGAACGACACTCTAACCAACTGAGCTATCTGGCCAGTGCTACTTTGTATGACTTAATAAGAGTATGGAGGCAGCCTAAGCTTAAAAGACATAAACTGTCCTTTCTTTTGAGAGTTTTTTTTCTTGGATAATAATTATAATTTCATATCAGTACTGTGTTTCATTCAAAGTTTTCATAGAAATAGAATCCTTTTCTCTTTTTTTTAACTTTTATGTGTCTCCTTTAATCAGTCATTCATTTATTCATTTCTTAAATGCACATTTATAGAGAAGCTACTATATGCTGGATTTAAAAACAGACTTAAGATAAACACTGTCCTCATCCTCAGGGAGCTTAAAGTTTAGTAGGGACTCAATACATTCATAAACAATTACAATAGAGTATTATTAGCAAAGATGAAATACAGAATGCTATTTAAGCCTATGATAAAGAATACCCATCCCAAAGTGAGGGCATTTGAAATTTATTCTGAAAGCAATGTATCGAGACAGTTTCAAAGGTGAACAATGAGGCCAAGCTACATCAATTCAATGCCAGCTCCTTCACAACTATCTCAGTGACCTTGGGCAAGTGGCTCTTTCTGAATTATCTTTCCCTTTTTGTCAAATGTAAACAATAATAGAAACCCACTTCAATAATAATTATGAGAGTTTAATGAGTTTAAAAGTTGAACATACTTTCCACAGTTTTTGGCATAAGATAAGGGTTTAGTATAAGTTAGCAATCATTCTAATAATAATTGTTACTGTTATTGTTGTCATTAGTGACATCTAAGCTAGTATGCAACAGATGAATGTAAGTTACCCACATAAGGCAAAGAGAAAGAGTGATCCAGGAAGAGATAAAGGGAAAGCAAATGTCGAAAGACAAAAGGAGGAGTGGAAGTAAAAAGAAAAAAAACCCCACCAGAATGTGAACAGAGCTTGCTATAGCAAGGGAATCAGCCATAATCGCTTGGATTTGACAGAAACCCAAAGGCTGTCAGGGAAGAAGGGAAGGGGGGACCTTCATGTACATGCTGATTGGAGGTTGGTGGCACAGGGCGGAAGTGGAGCATCTTGGTTTGGGGAGCATATCTGGCTTTTTCTGGCCGGCTCTGAGTTGAAAGCAGGGGCCAGGGGAGCCTCCAAATAGAGAAGCTGGAAGCTGTTGAGAAAATTCTGCACATCTGCAGTGACCGGTGCAGAGGTTCGAGTTTGCCTTCCCGGGCCTCTTATGCAGACCAGAGTGTCATCATCATGTATGGCCTGGCCATTGTTTGTTTGCATTTTTATTCCCTTAAAATAGTATGGATTTTTCTGGGAACTAAAATTTCAGTATAAGGAGAGCATATAGCTCAGCAGAGGAGGAATAACAATGGTGAGAGGTAAGGTCATTATGCAAGGTCATGTGTTGTCTGCCTGTCTATGAAAGTGGGTATTTTTAACAAGGGCTCTCTTATCTTGCCAACTGGAACATAATGTGAATCATGTGTAACAACGCCATCCTTGGAAGACCCACTTGAATGCCATTATTCACTTTGTAGACAGAATAAGCCTCCTACCCCACCCCCAAAGATGCCCATGCCCTAATCCATGGAACATGTGAATATGTTACTTTAAACAGCAAAGGGAACTTTGCAAATGGGAGTAAGGTTGAGGATCTTGAGGTGGCATGATTTCTCTAGATTGTTCAGTTGGCCCCAATCTAAACACATGAATCCTTAGAAGTGAAAGTGGATGGCAGAAGAGTGGGTCAGAAAGATGTAACAGCTGAAGAGACAGGAGGGATGACAGCCTGAGAAGGGCTCGGTCCCTAACTGCTGACTTTGAAGATGGAGGAAGGGAGCCATGAATCAAGAAATGTAGGTGCCCTCTAGTTCTGAAAATGGTCCTTGGCTGACAACTGTCAAAGAAATGAAGACTTCAATCCTACAACCACAAGAAACTGAATCCTCCTAACAGCCTGAAGGAGCCAAGAAACACTCTTCCCTAGATCCTTCAGAAAGAAATGCGACTCTGTAGTCACCTTGACCAGACCTGTGTCAGACTTCTGACCGATAGAACTCTAAGGTAGTACGTTCATGCTGTTGTAAATAGCCAAGCTTGTAGTGAGTTGTTCCAGCATCAACAGAAAACTAATACACTCACCAAAATTTATAAAACTTTTTCTTTCCTCTCTTAGTGAAAGAGCAGTTCACCATCCTATCTCTGGACCACTGTAAACCCACAGATTCTCATTTGTAAAGTGGGATATTCAAAGATGGTATAATGAAGTAATTTTGCAATTGGTATGTGTTAAGGTTCACATAGCCAATTCCTTCCACTGGCTTTGCATATAAAATCAGTTTTTGTTTATTGTATTCATACTTAAGCCCAAAAGGTGGGTATTTTTGTCCTCAATCAACATAAGAGAAAACCGGGATTCAGGAAGAATTAGAACTAGACTTAAAGAGCCAACATTTAAACCCAATTTGTCTCACTGTAAAGACTGGCTGTTCCCATGACAACACTCCATTTCTCCCATTTACTAATGTTTCAGAACCAGAAATGTAGTGACTCTCTTTTACCAGCCTTAATAATCACATACTTTGGAGCTGACTCATAACATCAGATTTTTTTCTTGTTTTCTTTTCTTTTTTCTTTTTAAGAATCAATGATTTATCTCCTGTAAGCATCATTAGATATGGCACAATCATTAATGATGACAATCACTGTAATTCAAACAACATGATAATCTTTAGTTGAACTGAAGATAAAAAAAAAGTAAGTACTTTTTTTCTCATTTGTCAGCATGACAGAGCAATAAAGCATTGCATAATTAATATTTAACATCCCAGGATGAAGCATTTTATTTCTGGTTTGGGTAGCTGATTTGGTGTTGTGATGAAATTTTCCCATGATGCAGTGGAGTGAAATTTTTAAGGGCAAATCTCCAGAGTCAGACGGTTCAGTGGAAAGATCATGGACAAAACACATGGCCTCTCTACAGCCAAGTTTCTTCATCTGTCAAAAAGGAATATTAGTAACGCCACCTCATGAGTGTTGGAAGTATCAAATAAGGAAAAATCATTAGAGGGTTCTTTAGCTTTACCAGACTGGAACAATTCTCTGCAAAAATGTGTATTTTCAAATGAGCATCTGTTACCAATCTAGGCATCTTGAAACTTCAGTTATCACTTGAATCTTGTTCTGCATCTGGATATTAGTAAAGGATTGACTATTTTAAGTATTGAATCTTTCATAGCTTTCTTACATTGTTACTACCAGGTTCTTTGTTTTAATGAAAACTATTTCTTTTTAGTTGTTATTTGAAAATATGAAGTAAATTTGAGTTAGAGGTCTTTTTGATATTTAAAAAAAGAAAAACATTCAGCTTAAGTCAAATATAAAGGTGGCAGTAGGGACCGGTAGCTAGTTGGTATGGGATCTAGTGAACATTCTTTGAAGTGATCTGGAAATATCATACACCCAATAACAGAAAATGATTACAAGTAGAACTCAAGGGATTTGAAGCTGGAAGCTGAGAAAAATCTTTGCATCTCAGGAAATTCTGGTCTCTCTTATCCCAGCTTTTCTTGATAAACCTACTACATGCCTTTCTCACAGAACCAGTTTTCTTTACGTGTCCAATTTGCCATTGTCTCGACATGGCCACCCCATCTCCCACGGCCAACCACCAATCAACTCAGCCCCTTAGCTCCTTAATTCCAAACATCCCTGAGAAAAGAAAGCAATAGGGCAAGATGCTCTTTTTCAATGAAGTCACACAAATGGAATGCCCCCCCAAAAGTCTTTCCCTCCTACAATCAGGCATGGCCAGGAGTGGAGCAGGATTGTGTAGAACAATGAAATTGGGAAAATTCCCTGAGAAAACAAGGTGGCTGGAACTTGCAAAAATGATGACTCAGTACAGAAAATAACTGAACTGGAATCCTCCTAGGCAAACTATAAATGTAGGAACGTAGAATTCATTGTGACAGAGAGGCTACCATGCGTCAAACACAGAACTCTCTAAGTCCACTCCCCTCTAGACTCCTGCCACCGGTCTCTCTCCCTGCCCTAGATTCCCTTGGCACGCCACCTGTATTT